GTGTAGTAGCGTGGCCGAGCCCGGTATAGTCGGCGGGTACAGAGAGCAGCTGTCTCCTGTACCCGCGGACTATACAGGGCTCGGCCACGCTACAGAGGGAGTGACAGGAGGGAGCGCTGAGCATTTCCCTCCTGTCAGCCTCTCCTCAGGCTGCGCCCGGGCGGTGCGGTCCGCCCTCATGGACGCACCGCCCGGGCAAAGCTGCAGCCGCCTGAGGCTCTTTACAGAGCGCTCGGGCGGCTGCAGCATGGGGGGGGGCCAGCGCTCCTGGCGACGCCCCTTCCGAAGGGGCGCCCTAGGCGGCTGCCTAGTCCGCCTTACAGGTAGCGCCGGCCCTGGTTACAACACAGTAAAATAAGAACGAGATTAGTTTTTTCCACTACATGTTTAGAGATAAGTCATCAAATGAAAAGACAGAAAAGCAGAATCAAACACTGCGAAGAATTAGTGACCATAATCCTACTAAATGGGTGTACTCATTAAACATTATATTGTTGTGGTTTGAAAGAAAAATGACAATAGCCAAGTTGGTATTTTCTAGATGATGTTTAAAATAGGGTTGGGAGGTATGTTTTCAAACCAGCTAACCTGGTCTGGCGTGTAAATACTGCAAAACTGCTGCTACAACGGTACAAATACCCTTCATTGGCCTCTTGCAATAACACCCTAACATACTTGCAATACACAATTTGGGGATATTTTTCTCTGGAATGTCCCAATGCAGGTTATGAGATATGAGACAAGTATTATTTATGCTCTGCTTCATTCATTAAATTTCAAGTCAGAGGAAGCAGAGGAGTAAGTTCTGTAGCATGGGTTAACCGCATTTCACTGAAAAATATTGGTCAGGATTGAAAATGCCTGGCCATTAATAAGAAAGCTTGCTCTGTTTTTTTGTCTCAAAAAACCTTTTTTTTTTTTCCTTAAGTCTCCTACATTGACTTTAGTTAGAATTTTCTATCTATTGCTATCCCATCTACCCATTTCCTGAAACTATGCCAATTTCATCCTGGCACAGCAGGCACTTTCCATAATCTGGCCAAGCAGTGCAGGATGTAAACATTCAACAGAACGGCATTGTTTAAAGATCTAGTTAATTCATGTATTCTTGGCTGGTGCGCTCGACGTTCACAGGGCGACAATTGTCCCCTGACGCATATTTCTAAATAAATCTCCAATTATGCAAAATAGGACACTGATAAGAAGGAAACTTCAGGGGGAGATAGAGCTCAGATAGGGTAGTTAAGTTCTGATTATAAATATTTTTATAATGTGAACTTATGTCATGTTTTAGGACAGTGAACAAGGCAGGAATTCAGAGCAGTTACTGCTGAGTTGGCATAATGTGTTTATAGGCCTCACTAACTGGTTTTAAGCTCAACCTATAATAAATAGACGTGTGATGTGATTCAAATCAGGGCCTTAGGTCAAGAGATTTCTAATGCATTTATAAAAGCAGGACTACAGAGTACTCAATGACCAGCCTGTTTATAAATTACTTTACACAAGACAGTCTTTTTACTTTGGTAACAGCCAGCATAAAAAAAAAAAACGAAAAAACTAAAATTGCAGTTGAATTAAGGTTGCCAAACCTGCCATTTTTATCAGACAGTTTGGACTACATCATAGGAAAAAGGACTCAAAATCAATATGAGACAAATTGTATACGTGACACCAATGTCTCCTCCACAGTAGCAGCGTGTTTATATTTTATATAAACAAAAAATAAAAAAACAATCCTACTATCATATTAAAAGATTAACACAAGTTATAGATAATTCTTAGTTTTATTTATTGGCATAATTTTGCTGTGTCAGTGCCCGTTCAAGCTTCCTGCAAAAACACGAGGGGTCTGGGTTGTCCCTTCAATATTGTAATCATTTTGTTAATTCACTGCTTAGTGTAGAAACATGCCATTTTCTTCCTATCATTTATCTAATCACGTAGTCATTAGTGAGCTCATTAAGGCAGGGCATTTGACTCTGTTGTAGAATTGGTTATTTGTTAACTAGTTTCTAATAGCAACACAATAGGCTCCAAAGTACAATTCAGGCCCCAGGCAGGGAAATTAGTGTAGTTGGGACTTTGGATTCTAGGATCAAACCCATAAAGGACAAGCAAACAGCAGTAGAAGGTTTGCATTGAGTAAGACGGATTTTATTAACCATTAGTGTGTCGAAAGTAACGATCATTTACAAGCTTTGATGTATAGAGAACCAACATATTCTGCCTTACTGTATGATGGGTATGCAAACTAAATCAAACACAACTAATGGAAAATAACAAAAATCAATAGTGAAGAGGGCCTTTTCATTACAGACCACAGACTCTCATTAGAGAGAGATATCAATTAACTGGTATAATTTGAGCACACTAAAACACATTTAACAGACACGGGGTACAACTGTAAAAAAAAAAAAACAATAAGATGACTACAAATATAGATATTTAATTTTCAGCATTCAGCCATTGAAAACCTTACGTATGTTGTGGAAAAACTGTCTCTCTCTAGGGGAGTGCATGCACATATCACCAGGTCCATCATGCTCTCTCAATTATTTCTTCTTACATTTTGTTTCATTACACTTTATTCCAATAGTGGCAGTTTCTCTTTCCTGCTTTGATTCACAAACAATATATCCACTCCAAGGAACAAGGGCAGAAGCCAGGTATATACAAGGGCTTTAGGTTTTGATTATAAATAGCATATGGTGAGTTGTAATGAATTAAAAATAAATTGCTAAAATGTAATTCTAATTAAAATAACCTAGTTGGAAAAATTGTGGAAGTGGAAAGTGTAATTTTGAAAATCAGGGGAATTATCTATTTACTAAAGTGAGAATTCAAAGTGAATTTCAAATTTAAAGCCTGAGTACCCAAACTAAAAGCACAGCTGACTAATGGAATTTTCCCAGTTTTGGCTTTTTTGATCTTTTAATCCCCTTTGAATTCTAACTTAAATAAAAGTGCTCTGTGCTAAAAAGTGGTACAAAAATGTAAAAGTGGAGAAGTGGCCAGTAGAATGTGCTTGCTGGATCTCCATGGTGATGGCTCCCCTTTTTCTTTTTAAAATTCTTTATTTTTGATGTGCATGAGAGTAACAGGCATTCTCGCTATGCCACAACAGTAAAAGCAAAACAAGTGTTGACATTAAGCTTAACAGTGTAGGCATATAGGCAGAACTGCGCACATTTTGAAAAAAAATTTGTGTTGAAAATCAAGAGTGTTGCATGTTTAAAACATAGATACAGTATAATAAAGATAACATCAAGATAATATAGTTAGTACCAAATAGATAGTTACCACTGGGTTAATATACGGTGTCATAGCATGTAAGCATAATAGTTATAGCATAATATTTGAGCAATACAATAGCATTTATTGTACTACAAGCGGTGTGGGATTTTATATCTGCTGTCTCTTGTAGAGATCTTGTTATATAGGGCTGCAATTGCTGCAGTGAGGATGTTGCTTAAGAACTGAAATCGATTAAAGGTTCAGACAACAGGTTGAAACATAACACAAGAATAAAAGACATTAGGCATTTTCAAGTGTTACATTAACTCAGCTGGGTGGCAGCATAACATTCTCATTGAAGGCTTGGTTCTCAGCCAACTCCTATGCTTGGCAGGCTTGGAAGATATTCTGAGAGTTCACTGGGTAGATCGGCGTTGCAGCAGCGATTCAAGGCTCCCTTCCAGCCCGGAGCCCCACTAGAGGTACTCATCCCAAAACCTCGGACCCAGTGGTTCTTACAGTCTGAGTCCCTCCCCGAAAGGGACTAAGCAGGACACACTTGTGGCTTGTCGGTGGTTTCGATAGGTGGCCCTCCGTTTAAGTGGGTGAGATGGCAGGTTACGACCTTGAGGTTTCTTCAGCCCATGCTTTCTCTTCTTGAGAGGAGTCGGAGCTCAGCAACTTGTGTTGTCAAGGGGGGGCACTCGACCCTTTGGTCCGTTCCCTGAGGAAACATGTGCTTCTCCAGTCGGGCCCAGAAGTTTGCAAATGTCGCCTCCAGCTTCAGCAAGACACACTGAGTGGTCAGGCTGCTCACTGCTTTGCTGCAGCATGTCTTGCTTCTCTATGGTGGGCCCATCCGCCATCTTAATAAGCGTTGTCTCCAGTCAGGCAGTGCGAGCTATCCTGATCGGGAAGTGCAGAGTAAGTCAGTCCTGTGGGGATAACTCCCACAGGGGAGGGGAGAGGGACGGACTGTAGGATGCTGATTCCACTCAGCCGGCTGTAGAACTTGGAGAGTGGCCACCTCTTTTCTGTCCTATCTTGGGTAGGCCGCAAGGCCTCGGCTCTAGCAATCCGGGCACTGAGAGGCTCAAGAGTGGTATCACCAGGATCACCGTTGCCCCCGTTACGTGAGTATCGTTGTTCTGCCGCTAAAGAAGCGAGTTGGCCGGGAATCACCCTTGAGTATTGAAGCCAGACACCGGAGCTCTCGCAACACGCGTCTGGTCCACTTGGCAGTCAGGCTCTGCCCCTGATGGCTCCCCTTTTTAATAATCTATGTCACCTTTTAGAACAGAACACTTTGGTGAATCTCCCACATTGAGCAAATGTTGCTGTTCCACTTTCAGTTCACCACAGTTCAATGTGAATGCATTCCTAAAGTTACTTATTGAGATACAATTTTGTTGACAAAACAAGAATACTTTTATTTATATGACAAACCCAACTTCCTATAACATGGTTATATGTAGCAATAGAAAACACATTTCTCTGAAAGGTGAAGAAAACTGTGAGAATCCGGCACTCTGATAATGTTCTTGTCTGTGCTTATGTGTATTTGAAGTATATATTCTGACGAGGTACTTAGCACTGTACAGGTTGCATCTAGAGGGAGGTACAAAAAGTGCAGTAGTTCTACAGTGTATTTATATTGTTTATATAGCTTTAAGAAGAGTAATGAGCAGTTTGAAAGTTTTATTATAGTAGGGATAAAGTACAATAATTGTAGCAACTATACACTGTACGCTAATTGTATGTATATAGTGACAATAGGTGAATTTAGCACTTTATATGTTGTATCATGTTTGGAGTTTGGTCTCAATAAGGGGCATGTAGCCATACAGATGAGATGACACACAGGTTGCAGTTGGTTAATCTTCAGTAGTAGGGAAAGTAATGGAAACCATGTTAAAGGATAGGATTGTTGAACATCTAAAAACACATGGATTTCAAGATCAGAGACAACATAGGTTTACTTCAGGGAGATCATGCCAAACTAATCTTATTGATTTTTTTGATTGGGTAACTAAAATAATAGATCAGGGTGGTGCAGTAGACATTGCTTACCTAGATTTCAGTAAGGCTTTGGACACTGTTGCACATAGAAGGCTTATCAATAAACTGCAATCTTTAAGTTTGGATCCCAGTATTGTTGAATGGGTAAGGCAGTGGCTGAGTGACAGGCAACAGAGGGTTGTAGTCAATGGAATATATTCGAAGCTTGGACTTGTCACCAGTGGGGTACCTCGGGGATCTGTACTTGGACCCATTCTCTGTAAAGGCACACTATAGGGTCAGGAACACAAACATGTATTCCTGACCCTATAGTGTTTAACCCACCATTTAGGTTGCTTGCCCCCTCCCCCTCCCTGCCTTAAAAGCAATTAAAAATTATTTCCAGCGCCACCCGGGTCCGCCGGCGCTAGCTTGGCCCCCTTGGTGACATCATCAGAATTGCTGATTTTTAGCCAGTTCAATGCTTTTCCATGGGGAAAGCATTGGATTGGCTGAAATCGGCAAGGGGCAGGGCCAAACGTCTGTTGGGCCAATCAGCACCTCTTCATAGAGATGCATTGAATTAATGCATCTCTATGAGGAAAATTCATCGTAGAGACGCTGAACGGCACTGCTGCCTACTGTACAGCACTGAGCCAGGAAGCACCTCCAGTGGCCATCTGAGAAGTGGCCACTTGGAGGTGTTCCTAGGGGCAATGAAAACACTGCCTTTTCTCTGAAAAGACAATGTTTGCATAAAAATGCCTAAAGGCAATGATTATACTCACCAGAACAACTACATTAAGCTGTAGTTGTTCTGGTGACTATAGTGTCCCTTTAATATTTTTATTACATAGTTACATAGCTGAAAAGAGACTTGTGTCCATCAAGTTCAGCCTACCTCACATTTGTTTTTTGCTGTTGATCCAAAAGAAGGCAAAAAAACCCAGTTTGAAGCACAATTTTGCAACAAGCTAGGAAAAAAAATTCCTTCTTGACCCCAGAATGGCAGTCAGATTTATCCTTGGATCAAGCAGTTATTACCCTACATTGAAAGATTATATCCTTGAATATTCTGTTCTTGCAAGTATGCATCTAGTAGCCGTTTGAACATCTGTATGGACTCTGATAAAACCACTTCTTCAGGCAGAGAATTCCACATCCTGATTGTTCTTACAGTAAAAAAACCTTTCCTTTGCCTTAGACGAAATCTTCTTTCTTCCAGTCTAAACGCATGGCCTCGTGTCCTATGTAAAGTCAGGTTTGTGAATAGATTTCCACACAATGGTTTGTATTGGCCCCGAATATATTTGTATAATGTTATCATATCCCCTCTCAGGCGACGTTTTTCTAAACTAAATAGGTTTAAATTTTTTAACCTTTCTTCATAGCCAATATGTTCCATTCCTTTTATTAATTTTGTAGCCCGCCTCTGCACTTTTTCTAGTGCCATAATATCCTTCTTTAGAACAGGTGCCCAAAATTGCACAGCATATTCAATATGGGGTCTTACCAGTGATTTATAAAGAGGCAAAATTATATTCTTGTCCCGAGAATGAATGCCCTTTTTCATGCATGACAATACCTTACTGGCCTTGGCCACTGCTGATTGACATTGCACATTGTTGCATAGTTTGTTGTCTATAACAATTCCCAAGTCCTTTTCATGTGTTGTTATCCCTAATTCGCTTCCATTAAGGGTATACGTTGCTTGTGTATTCTTTACGCCGAAGTGCATAACTTTGCATTTTTCAACATTAAATTTCATCTGCCATTTGAGTGCCCAGTCTATCTAAATCCCTCTGCAGCAAAGTAATATCTTGCTCACATTGTATTGTTTTACAAAGTTTGGTGTCATCTGCAAACACTGAAACATGACTTTCAATGCGGTCTTCAAGATCATTTATAAACATGTTAAATAGAAGGGGTCCCAGAACAGACCCCTGAGGGACACCACTTGCCACCTCTGTCCAGCTTGAAAATTCACCATTAATGACAACTCTTTGTACTCTGTTTTTAAGTGATATTAGTGATATTTCAGAAGGTCTTGATGGTGAGGTATGTCTTTTTGCTGATGATACTAAGATATGTAACAGGGTTGATGTTCCAGGAGGGATAAGACAAATGGCAAATGATTTAGGTAAACTAGAAAAATGGTCAGAGTTGTGGTAGCTGACATTTAATGTGGATAAGTGCAAAATAATGCATCTTGGACGTAAAAATCCAAGAGCAGAGTATAGAATATTTGATAGAGTCCCGACCTCAATATCTGAGTAAAGGGATTTAGGGGTGATTATTTCTGATGACTTAAAGGTAGGCAGACAATGTAATAGAGCAGCAGGAAATGCTTGCAGAATGCTTGGTTGTACAGGGAGAGGGAAGAGGGAAGTGCACATGCCATTGTACAGAACACTGGTGAGACCTCACTTGGAATATTGTACTTGGTACTGGAGACTGAATCTTCAGAAGGATATTGATACTTTGGAGAGAGTTCAGAGAAAGACTGCTAAACTGGTCCATGACACAGGCGTGTGCAGCCTATTGCATAAGGGACCCTAAAGCACAAACACAGACGCCGCGTGTATATGTATGTGTCTATGTGTATATATACATACACACACACACATACATACACTGCTGCGTGTGTGTGTTTGTGTGAGGGTGCTGGTAGTGTGCAGCGTGTGAGGGTGCTGTGTGTGTGTGTATGTAAGGGTGCAATGTGTGGATGCTGTGTGAATTTGTTTGGAGGGATTGTGTGTAGGGGTAGGTGGACAAATTAGGAAAGAGACCCCCTCCCTTCTTACCTTTTGCCTGGGAGGGGGGATCCTTGCTGCCATCCCTGATTCCTGGTGGTCCTAGTGTAGGGGAACTCTAGCCTGCAGGCAACGCTCCAACCTCGCAAGAGGAACCCGGCGGAGCTGCTGGCAAGAGCTCCCCGGGTCCTCTCCTGCCTCCCTTCCTGACTGTGGGCCAGTGAGGGAGATCAAAGATCTCCCTCACCGGCCCATGGAGGCACACAGCGTGGGCCGTGGGGATTAGGGTATGCCCGGTGCACCCCGTGCTCACGCCTATGGTTCATGGATTACAGGATAAAACTTACCAGGAAAGGTTTAACCCCAAAATTTCTGGACTAAAAGGGAATCATGACATGTCACACATGTCATGTGTCCTTAAGGGGTTAAGGAACATGAATAGCTTGGAAGAAAGATGAGACAGGGGGGATATGATAGAAACATTTAAATATATATAAAGGGAAATCAACACCGTAAAGGAGGAGACTATATTTAAAAGAAGAAAAACTACCGCAACTAGAGGACATGGTCTTAAATTAGAGGGGCAAAGGTTTAACCCCTTAAGACCGGAGGGCGTACTATTACGCCCTATTCTAAGCGGCTCTAAAAGCCGCCGGGCGTAATAGTACGCCCTCCGTTCTTTTCCTACTTACCCGGTCGCCGGCGATCCCACACCGGCAATCACGGTTGGGGGGGCTCCTCGGCACGTCCGACGTCCTGGAAGCCCCCCGGCCATGTGAGAGGACCCCACAATCACATGGCCGGGGGTAGCTGCCTCCTGCATTGCCACCAGGGGGGCTGCCTGTAATGACAGGTGGTCCCCCTGCTGGCTGAAAATAAAATTAAATAAATTAAAAAGTGTAAAAAAAATAATAATATATACTTAGATCAGTGTACACACGTACACTGTCTAGGTGTATTTTACTATTAATATATATATAATATATCAAATTACACATAGACTGATACTGATTAAATATATATATAATTATTGTTATATATATATATTTATATATAATATAAAAAAAAATATGTAAATACGTTAAAAAATAAAATTAAAAAAATAATTACAAATAAATATTTAAAAAATATATAGATGTGTGTTATTTCATTCTAACTGTATTGTGAAATTAATATATATATATATATATATATCAAAATACACGTAGAACAAAATAATATATATATATCTATATACATAAATATATACGTATATATCACTATATATACCTATATATAAATAAAAATATTTTAAAAAAATTATATAGATATATACATATATATACACATACGTATATATATACATATATTGATTCTACATATATATTTATGTAATATTTTTACATAATTAGGTATCTTAATTAATTACAATTAGCGGGACCTGCCTGACAACCCATGCCGAAAGTAAAGGGAATTTAATTTGTTAGCACTATATTTAACCCTATAACTTTCCAAGACACCATAAAACCTGTACATGGGGGGTACTGTTCTACTCGGGAGACTTCGCTGAACACAAATATTAGTGTTTCAAAACAGTAAAATGTATTACAACGATGATATCGCCAGTAAAAGTGAAGTTTTTTGCATTTTTAATGCACAAACAGCACTTACACGGACGATATTTTTGCTGCAATACTTTTTACTGTTTTGAAACACAAATATTTGTGTTCAGCGAAGTCTCCCGAGTACAACAGTACCCCTCATGTACAGGTTTATGGTGTTTTCAAAAGTTACAGCGTCAAATATAAGGCTTGTGTTTCATTTTTTCACATTAAAATTCGCCAGATTGGTTAGGTTGCCTTTGAGACCCTATGGTAGCCCAAGAATGAAAATTACCCCTATGATGGCATACCATTTGCAATAGTAGACAACCCAAGGTATTGCAAACAGGGTATGTCCAGTCTTTTTTAGTAGCCACTTAGTCACAAACACTGGCCAAAATTGGTGTTTTTGCATTTTTCACACACAAACAAATACTAACGCTAACTTTGGCCAGTGTTTGTGACCAAATGGCTACTAAAAAAGACTGGACATACCCCATTTGCAATACCTTGGGTTGTCTACCATTGCAAATGGTATGCCATTATGGGTGTAAATTTCATTCCCGGGCTACTATACAGTCTTAAAGGCAACGTAACCAATCTGGCGAATTTCAATTTCAAATGTAACGTGCTATATTTGACCCTGTAACTTCCCAAAACGCCATAAAACCTGTACATAGGGGGTACTGTTTTACACGTGAGACTTTGCTGAATACAAATATGTGTATTTTATTGCAGTAAAAGTAAACAGTATTATGACACTGACCGTTAAAATGTCATGTAGAACTAAAAAAATCAAAAAAAAATCGTATTTTCTCCCATTTTTTTCATATTAAATTATGTTTCATAGCTAAATATTTGATATTAAATGAAAGCCCTATTTCCCCTGAATAAAATGATATATAATAAGGGTGGGTGCATTTACTATGAAAGAGGTGTATTACGGTTGGACAGACATGTAGCGCAAATGCCAGGTTTTGTTTACATTTTGTTTTGTTCACAACGTGTACATTTGGCTCTGTCCTTAAGGGGTTAAAAATATCAGGAAGTATTACTTTACTGAGAGGGTAGTGGATGCATGGAATAGCCTTCCAGCTGAAGTGGTAGAGGTAAACACAGTGAAGGAGTTTAAGCATGCATGGAATAGGCATAAGGTAAGATAAGGCAGGGACTAATTAAAGTATTTAGAAAACTGGGCAAACTAGATAGCCCGAATGGTTCTTATCTGCCGTCACATTCTATGTTTCTGTATGTGGAGAAGCATGACACAGGTACAGATCGGCTACAGAACACAGCAGTAGGCTTAGGGTGCTCTATCATCTTTCCAGTAATGCACGATTGTGATGATGTGTAAAGTGAAATGTGATTATGAAAGCAAGCTACTTGTGAGTCACAATCTACAACAGCTAGGGTCATAATTCACTAATTTTTAACCAGGTGTCAGTGGTTGCCTGTGCCTGGCACACAAGTACAATTCAGCTATCCTAAGCAGAGAATGTGCCTGTTGCACTGAGATCCTTTGTCCTTTCCACTATTTGTATAAAATAATCAAGAGTCTGAGTACAACTCCCTCTAGTGGTGCGTTTTGCTTATGCAAATGTGAGTAATTTGGCAGAATGTTGATGTTCCACATAAACTAGAAAGAGTAGATTAATACTCTAGGGCTGCGGTAGGCAACTTTGGCACTCCAGATGTTGGCGACTACATCACGAGTGGTAAAGGTTGCTTTCCCCTACTCTGGGGTCTAATGTGATTAATTCAACCTAAGATGGATATATGGTTTGCTTGTATGCCTACCTCACAATTTATTTTTATTGAACTTGTTCGAATATTTATTCTTTTTTTTTTTTAATAGAGATTTTTTGTTCTTCACATGCTCTGCCAATCAACATAGAAACTAGCTTCCAAATTCGGATTCTTCATATTCTGCTGTTCAAGTAGCCTGTATACTAAATGATTTCATTCAGCACACAGTGAATTAGTGTGAAACTATGTATTTCCCTGATAAATGTTTAGGCCCAGAAAGCTGTCCTTTTAGCCCTGCATTGAATGGACACTGTAGTCACCAAAACAACTTTAACTTAAAGGAGCACTTTAGGGTCAGTAACACAAACATATATTTCTGACCATATAGTGTTAAAAACTCACCATCTAGTCCCCCATACCCCTCTTGCCAGCCTAAATATAGTAAAATCTTACTTGTATTCAAGTATGCAGCTGCTAGCTCTGCCCCTGTCTGCCTGTGAAACTGCCTGCTATCTGCTAACATCATCAGAAGCGGTGGTCTGAGCCAAACACAATACTTCCCCATAGGATTGGCTGAGACTGTCAAGGAGGCAAATCAGGGGAGCCAGCACAAGTCAAGGACAGCCCTGATCAATCAGCACCTCCTCATAGAGATGCATTGAATCAATGCAGCTCTATGAGGAATGTTCAGTGTCTGAGTGCAGAGGGTGGAGACACTGAATGGCAGTGCTGCACATTAGGCAGGGCTGCTTAAGGAAGCACCTCTAGCAGCCATATAAAAAGAGTGGCAAGTGGAATTATCACTAGGCTGTAATGTAAACACTGCATTTTCTCTGAAAAGACAGTGTTTACAGCAAAAAGCCTGAAGGCAATAATTCTACTCCCCAAAACAAATGCAATAATTTGTAGTTGTTCTGTTACTATAGTGTCCCTTTAATGAAAAATTTTGGTGTATAAACCATGCCCCTACAATTGCACTGTTAAATCACTTTGTTTATACAGCTCTATTCACACCTCCCATGTGACTTACACAGCCTTCCTTAACATTTCCTGGAAAGGAAGCTAGATATTCTAGGTTCCTTTATTGCACATTCTGTTTAATCTAAAAATGTCATCTCCTGTTTGCCTGCTAGACCCTGTAGAAGCCTACTGTGTTTGATCAAATGTAAATTTACAGAGCATTAAATAAAAACCTCTAAAGTAAGTTAACAACTGATTGAAAAATAAATCCATTCCCCCTAACTCCCCATGCATTCTGTGTGTGTCGCAGCCAGGTAAGGTGTGGTAGGGCTACATAAACAAGTGATTTAAATTCTAAATGACAGAGAAATTAGCAGTTTAGCAGACTATTGCAGTAGTTTTGATGTCTATAATATCTCTTTAAAGATTGCTCCACAACACACAATCGTACAGTTTATCAACAATAAACATGCCTACTCAATTCACTTAGGAATAACTGGAGCTCTGTATGTTGTCCAACATATATGTGGTGGTCTGGCTGTGTGCCAACAAACTCAGGGTTTTTCACAAAACTCAAATGGATATAATTTTACAGAGACAGAATATTACATATGTTGTTTCTCCTATAGTCCATACCAGCAGAACCGCTTTCTTATAACTACATTTGTATTTACCTAAATTTCATCTCCTCTTCTCTCTCTCTTTTTTTTAAATACCACTTTGTTTTACTATTGTTTCTTACCCTTATTTAACCATTCTCCTCTTTTCTACTCAGGTACGTAAGATCGCTGCTGAATACTACGACAATCTCCCATACCATACATCGTGGGGACGAGTACTCTGGGATTTCATATTCTGCAAAGAATTGGGACCATTCTCTCGTGTTAAGAGAGAGTGTGAACTTGCAAAAAAGGACTAAAAATAAACTGAAAAAAATTATTTATTTCACTCTCGCGTGTATAGATAATGATAATTTAGGAAACTATATTAACTGTATACACTCTTTTTTTTTTAAAAAAATTGGCATTCATTTTTAATAGTTCAAGCATTTAAAAGGCAGAATTATTAAACATATTAAACCCCATAATGCACAATTGGCCCTAACAAGCAATTGCCCATGAACAGTCTATTCAGTTGCCTCATTATTGGGCCGTTTCCCCCTGCCTGCATATTGGCTCAGGACAAGCTGCGTTTAGGCTAACAAAGGTTACTTGGAAATTTCTACCAAGATCGCCTTATATATTTTTTTTCATCCACTGCTTTAAAAGTATTTTCCCGAATTGTATAAAATTCTTCTGTAAAGGTATCCACTTAACACTGTTAAAATGAAGTGCCAATGTATCAGTCTGTGGCTTATGGCCACCTTACAATTAATATACATAAAAATGTTCAATATCCTTATGGGTTATCCGACAACCTAATAGAACAATTGTCCTAGTAAAAATGCACTATGATTATTTAGTATAAAGGAATGACCAAGAAGGGGTAAAAAATCTCTATATGTGCATGTAAACTGTACACATCAGTGATTGTTTACCTTGACACTGCAGATATTTCTGAACGACATACCCATGACAATCAGCTAGCCTTTAGGCAAATAAATATCCTTAGTGCCTAGGTAAGCAATTACTGCTGTAACTTTTTCACATTTGTATCAGTACTTTATTTGTGGAGTACGGTATTTTGCTGCTTTGTATCTTAATATGTTCCACCGATTATACCACTTCTTCATGGCATTGTTTTATCTATGATCTGTCACGGGGAAGCCTTGCAGGCCATGGTAACAACTTCTCTGAGCATCAAATGGATTAATGAAGAATGTTTTTTACGTTTTTCTTTTGATCTGGTGCTCACTATTGTCAGTCTACATCCTATCCATTAGTACTTTTTGTTCTTCTTTCTACTCTGTGAATTCATAGCTTCTTAATCTCTGATAGATCTTCTGCATTCTGAATTACCACTAAGTGACTTTACTAATATGGGCTCCTCCAGAGATTTCTCTAAGAGCTTGTACAGCAATCACGCACACTGCTCAGGTATCATAATTTATTAAGCTGGTTGACAATTTTCATAGAATCTACCTAGCTGTTGTTCTTTATTTCATGAATAGTTATAATATTTTTCTTGGATAAAAATACTCGTGCACTGTACAGCTGGGGTTTTTTAAAACACCATCTATACAATATATTATGATTCTTTCCAATAATGTGTTTTTTACTCTACCCTAAAATGAAGTGATTGAGGAAAAAATATTTTTGATTTTGTTAGTAGGGTAAAAATGAATTCCCTATAAATGCTACCTTAAATACAAAGGGTGTATCTAATAAATAGTACGTTGTGAAGCAATGACAAATGAAGATCAAAATAAATCTGAGTTGGAAAATAAGTCATTTAGCAGCTCACCAAAACTCACTGTTTATTGAACGCCCTTATAACACTTGAAAGTAACTACACCTTGTAATGACGTGACTTAACACTGAATGCATTGTAGTATTTGCAATATTGAAATACTAGTCATTTAATTTTTATATGCAACAATAATTATGTGAGTTTCAAACCAAATTACAGTAAAAGATGCATACCATTACACATATATAAAATATTATACATGGGAACTGTATGCTTCGCTTTCACTAAGAGATCTTAAAAAATGACTTTCTGAATCAAAACATTGCTTTGACATCCGTACACTTTTTGATTAGTATATTGGCTGCACCAGACCATTTATCTACGGTCTCCTAATTACATGAATGAGATCTGATCTTAGTGCACTAATTATGAAACTGTCTCCCAACAAATTTAAGTGACTTACCGATCTATATTGAGTGAATACATTACATTAATAATGCCGAATTCTGGGTGACTTATGCATCATCCCAGGGCAGTGCAAATTTTGAGGCACTGCCGGGGAGTTATAAAGGATTCAGAAAATGTGGTGGTGGCAGGCCAATGATTAGGGCAAAATGGCAAGTAGGTTCAGCGTAGGCTTGTTTTGTAGTGCTAGGGCAGGGAGATAAAATTATTTGTGGTCCTGGGGACCAGTGATGGAATGTATTGTTCCTTCCCTTATAGGCAGAATATAAGCTATTTCAAACTCTTTCTACTTAGATTTTGCTCTGAAGGTGTTTGGGAGTTGGAAAAACACAAGTCAGTAATTTGATAACTTACCTCGGGAGGCCACTAGGCGGGATTGGAGATCGGTGTTGCAGGATGCTCTACTTTTTAAGTGACTTCACATGTGTGGGCTTAAACGTGTATGAATTATGTATGTTTTTAAGTTATAGTTTTCAGTATAATGTATATGGCTATGTGTGTGGAAAGGTATTTCTAAGACTTGTTTAAGGATTTCATCATGTTTATGCAAAATTGATTCCACATGACAAAGAAGATATATAAAAATGAAGATATATAACATTTAAACAAAGCCTTACATTGTGTAATGTAATATAAAGAATCTGGTTTGCAAAATTATTTGTGTTTACAACTTTTATTATTGGAATAAAGTTTTCTATATGTTTATAATTATTATATTTCCTGTCTTTCTCAAAAACTGTTTTCATTAAGATTATCTTTACTGGCCTGCTACATTTAAGAAGAATGGGAGGTTTACTTACAATAAACTGCAGAGAGTTGAGAACAAAGTTAGAAAAATGTTTTAAAAATCTGCATATTTCTAATTCTCACTGTTATCTTTGCTTAAAGAGACACTCCGGCACCATTACAAGGTTACTGTATTTGATTGGTTTTGGCCTCATTAGTATACTGCATACTGTTTTGAATGCTCAATTTGCATAAGAAAACCCAAATGTTTTTCAGAATACTGCATCATTTAATAAGTAAGTCTGTCTGGCATGAGGACTAGCTAAGGAGGCAAGTTTATGGTGCAATGTTCTGCAAAACGAGTTTGTTCTTTTTTTTTTTGTATTGAAACTATAAAGATTTGAGCATGCAAAAACATAATATTAAATATCACTCCCTGTGTACAAATGGTACCAGTAGAAAATGGCCAAAAGTAGTTAAGAATACTTATACATGTGCAGATATATGCAGATAATGTTCCATGTAATAGATTCCTAAAACAACACAAAAAATACATAGTATAGACTGTATTTACAAATAAATGAGTATAAGAGTAATTGGATACACTAACGAATTCCAGAGCCGTGCCAGGCTCTGTGTATAATGCCCAAAGGGTGCCTCAAAAGGCTATGTGGAGGATCTTGAATGATGTCCCCCGAGACTCAGGAAAAAGCCGCAATGATGATATTAAAAATAAACACATTTATTACAATAAATTTGAAAAAACAAACTGTGCAGGTCCCATATGGTGACACACAAGCTCACAGCTATGCAGACGCGTTTCAACTCAGTCCGAGTTTTCATCAGTGCATAAAAATCATCCAGCTGCTTTTCCTTTTAAATTCGCCGCTTTTATAGCTGCCGGTCACGTGGGTGGAAGTTCGGCTGACCGGCGTCTGATGTCACTTCAGGTATTTTCGGAACTAATTTCATCAGTGTAGTTTAATTCAGTTAATTTGCCATGGAATATGAGGAACAGGCAGCACGACTAAAAAACTTTTTTGTGGAAAAGAAATATGATCCGATTATTCTAGACAGTCAAGTCCAGGAGACTAAACAACAAAATAGAGAGTTCCTATTAGAATATAGGAAGAGGCAAGTAGCCAAACAGACAGAGGAACCCCTTCTGATTTTGGATTATAATGGTGATGCCAATTACATAAAATCCATTATTTATAAGTATTGGCACATTTTGAGAACTGATGAACGTCTTAATGACATCATCAGTGAGAAGCCGAAAATTGTATATAGGGGCACAAAGAATCTTATGTTAGTTAAAAATCATATTAAAACCAATGTTACCAACACCAATGTTTTTAATCAAAAGCATGGTTTCTATCCATGTAAAATGTGCACAGCCTGTAAAAGAACAAAATTCAAAAAAGATACACATACTATATTTATTTCTAATGTATCAAAAAAGGAATATAAAATTAATTATATCCTCACATGCCATTCTAGCAATGTGATATACCTCCTCTGGTGCCCTTGTGGATTACAATATGTGGGAATGACCACAAGGGCCCTAAAAACTCACATATTGGAACACTTGGGCAATATACAGAGGGGGTACGCTAAACATAGTGTCTCTGCACATTTTTCACAATGCCACAATAGTGACCCTTCCCATGTTAATTTTATTGCCATTGCCCAAAAGAAAAAGGATTGGAGAGACGAGGACAATTTTAAAGAACTTTGCAAATTTAAAAGCAGGTGGATATTTGAGTTAAACACTCTATCCCCCAATGGTTTAAATTTAGATTTTGAGCTGGCTCATTTTTTATAGTTTTTTTTACAAGATTGTTTATAGGATTTTTTGTATCCCTTTAAATGCATATACTATGCATTTTTAGTACCAGCTCATAACATTTTATTTTATTATATATATATTCTCACATTAGTACTTTGTCCTCTCTGATCAATCAATCCTATCTATATGGGCTGTATCTACATATTGTATATGTGATATACATTTTTATGATATTATGTATAATTACTCTTCATGTTTTTTATCATTTCCCCCTTGTAGGGAATCCATAGAGAAGAGATATATATGATTATTGTTATCTTTTTTATAGATGCACATATTGCTATGTTACTTTATATGATGATGAATTGTTTATTTTTATGCACTTTACGAGTTACTATAGGTGCCCATTTACAATATGGAGCGTTCTGCTTCAATTGGGCAAATGAACTGAATTAAAACAAGTAGCGGTGAGGTAGCATAATCCACAGTATCTCCGCTGGTAGACAGGAACAACATAAAACAATCCAGGTAAAATCAGTACAGCATACAATAATCCCGGTAGCGTTGCATAAATCCTTCCTTCCCAAGAACTAGACGACACATAGGCAGGGAGTCAACTCAGCTTTTAATCACAGTATTTATGTGGTTCCCCATGCAAGGGGTTTCCTCCCCACAGACTTTACAGGGGTTGTACAGTAGGGGACTACATGGAGAACTTAACAACCAAGCTATTTCTCCCACCATGCGCTGCTGCACGAGAAGGATATTCCCACTAGAATATCCTGTTAAGTGGATTATCCCTCCGTGCAGCAGAACTGGCTTTTCACATACAAATACATAACTTTAAAGGACCACTATAGTGCCAGGAAAACATATTCGTTTTCCTGGCACTATAGTGCCCTGAGGGTGCCCCCACCCTCAGGGTCCCCCTCCCGCCCGGCTCTGGAAGGGGGAAAGGGTTAAAAACTTACCTTTTTCCAGCGCTGGGCGGGAGCTCTCCTCCTCCGATCCTCCTCTTCTCCTCCTCCTGGGCTGAATGCGCACGCGCGGCAAGAGCTGCGCGCGCATTCAGCCCGTTGCATAGGAAAGCATTTACAATGCTTTCCTATGGACGCTTGCGTGCTCTCACTGTGAAAATCACAGTGAGAAGCACGCAAGCGCCTCTAGTGGCTGTCAATGAGACAGCCACTAGAGGATTAGGGGGAAGGCTTAACCCATTCATAAACATGGCAGTTTCTCTGAAACTGCTATGTTTATAAAAAAAATGGGTTATCCCTAGAAGGACCTGGCACCCAGACCACTTCATTAAGCTGAAGTGGTCTGGGTGCCTAGAGTGGTCCTTTAACATTATCCATGCTGTTATACCGAATGACCATTCGGTAGATAGCTGGGGTCTGAGCGCACATTTCGTGAAAGTACCGCTCAGATCCCAGCACATCCAGCCGAACGCCGCATGAATTACACTTCAATATACACTTTGCATAAAAGACACACATACACCCGCAGGGATAAAGTACCGAAAGACTGCCAGCATACGAATGCTCTTGTTTGCATAAAATACAGATACATGGCTATACTTGGTTCTAACAGCTTTAAAGCTACAACATCACATTAGTGCAACTACAGTTCTAAGTGGCTAGTTTTGCCACAAACTACACTGATGAAATTAGCACCGAAAATACCGGAAGTGACATCAGACGCCGGTCAGCCGAACTCCCGCCCACGTGACCGGCAGCCATAGAAGTGGCGAATTTAAAAGGAAAAGCAGCTGGATGATTTTTATGCACTGATGAAAACTTGGGCTGAGTTGAAAGGCGTCTGCATAGCTGTGAGCTTGTGTGTCACCATATGGGACCTGCACAGTTTGTTTTTTCAAATTTATTGTAATAAAAGTGTTTATTTTTAATATCATCATTGCTGCTTTTTCCTGAGTCTTGGGGGACATCATTCAAGATCCTCCACATAGCCTTTTGAGGCACCCTTGGGCATTATACACAGAGCCTGGCACGGCTCTGGAATTCGTTAGTGTATCCAATTACTCTTATACTCATTTATTTGTAAATACAGTTTATACCATGTATTTTTTTGTGTCGTTTTAGGAATCTATTACATGGAACATTATCTGCATATATCTGCACATGTATAAGTATTCTTAACTACTTTTGGCCATTTTCTATTGGTACCATTTGTACACAGGGAGTGGTGTGTGTATGTGGCACTTGTTGTCCTCAAGTACCTTTATTTTACTATTTGATTTTAGGTTGTTGGGGAAAACCTTTCTCACTCCACGACTGTGTTGATATTGTTTATTTTTTACTGTGTAAGCGCCATTCACTCATTTCCTTTTTCTATAATATTAAATATGCAGCATATTAATATAGGAAAGCATGTATAACTAAGGAGTCCCTAATGTGAGCATGGAAATTGCTGTGCATGCTCATCAGGTCTCCCTCGCTGGCTGACGTGGGCGCTGAAGGAGCAGAGGCGGAGCCCAAGCTAACATCGAGAGACATCGGTGTCATAAGGGGTTTTTAACATATTGGATGCTTGAATATACATCATATTAACAGCATATTGGAATGAAGGGTTTAGTTTATGGAGAGAATGTTACTTATTAAAACAATACAAAAAAATTAAATATAATAAAATCAGCCAACTATTATTATGGCAAGTATGCAAGTAACAAATAATTAATATTATCCCATGGTGTTTATCAAGTCACGTAACAAAGTATACCAGGTACACATTAGTAGTGTAAAACACTAAATGGAACACAGGCAGGTGCGTGCATTTTTTTTGACCAAATATCACATTATAACAGGCTGTTACTACTATTTAAACAGAAACACAAATGTCGCTTTGCCAAAATAAATATGTTGCCAAAATAAATAAATATAAATAAATAAAAAGACGGCCGTGGTGGTCTTGCGCCGCCTGGGTTGGAGGTTGCCTTTTGTTTGTGTGGGCAATTCTTTGGGGTCATGTACCTGGTGGTCCTTGGGGAAGGGCGGTTCATCTCTGTTCCTATGTGCTATAAAGCAGGCGCATGATTGGCATTGTGCAGAATATATAGCTGTCCATACGAATTAGCGTCCCAGTGCACTTCTACAGGAAAGCATTGGATTGGCTGAGAACATTGATCTTGGCATATTATGCCAATGCTACGTGCTGTAGACCAGTGCCGTGAAAGAGAAAAGGTAAGTAATATCACCTTTTTATTCTTTGCAGTGGAGGCCAGTCACCTAAACATTGACCAAGGCATTATTCCGTTCTTAGTACTACAGTGTTACTATAAAGGGACACTATAGCCACCAGTGCAACTACATGTATTCCTAACCCTATAGTGTTAACACGACCATCTAGCCCCCCATGGGACCCTCATGCCTCCATAAATATAGTAAAAAAAATCTTACTATATTCAAGCCTGAAGCTGTAAACCTGCATGCTGTTAGACTCAGGAAATTGAATCAATGAATCTCTATGAGGAAAGTTCAGTGTCTGCATGCAGAGGGAGGAGATACTGAATCACAGGATGCTGTGCACAGTGCTTCCCTGTGCTCTGCTGATGGCAGATCTGAGTGGATTGAGGAGTTTTATGCCTCCATCAATTCGGAAGTCCCTCTGGTTCACTCTGAGTGACTGCAACTGGAGGTGTTACCAGCTTTCAATGTAAACACTGTATTTTCTCAGAGAATACAGTGTTTACATGAGAGAGGCTGCAGGGAGCTATAGTTCTCACCTGAACAACCTCATTAAGCTGAAGTTGTTCAGGTGACTATAGTGTCCCTTTAACTCCCAAATCCCTTAATCTATATCTATATATCTATATATGTTCACCATCCTTCATTCATCGCTTGTCTCTGTTCACTTTGCCAATTGCTTACTCTGCTATATTCCTATTGGAAATGTTAGACAGTGTTAGAGCCATATAAGTCATCATAATAACAGTTTATTGTATTTGACTCTGTCCCAGATGTGAGTAATGGTATAAAGTCACCAGACCCGCCATGTTTTCTTGGAGGCATGGCATACGTTCATACTGTGTACGTACTGAGCTACTGTCCCTACTGGATGTAGCATTGCCCACCAACAAAATGGCGGCGGCGACTTCAGAAAACCTTGGCGTACGTGACGTAACTCCGCAGAATGTCCTGCTCCCTCGCGTAAATGTAGCTAGCGCGTCTGACGCAGAGTTCTAATCACCAGAGCCGCATCTCTTACTACTAATCACATCACAAAAGTCACATATCTCAGTGCAGTTATCGTAAAGTAACGGCTTGTGCGACGCATCTGCAGTTGGCGACGTTTTATTTAACACAATTTACTAGTATATGCTTTTACAGACATTAAGGCTCCGGTTATCTCGGGTGTTTAGAGCTCTACGTCAAAAGGAGGCGTGTTTAGTGAACCCTGACGTCATCACTGCTGGCCCTGGGATTGTGGTTACTTCCAGCTCTGAGAGAGGAGACCAACATGGAGGCGGACGGGTCGTATGAGCCGGGGTTTGTGGGGATTCGCTTCTGTCAGGAATGGTGAGGAGGGAGTCCACACTCAGGGAAGGGTTAATATTACCTCTCTCTCTCTCCATGGGTTATAATATACCTGGCTTAGCATTCTGGGAAATGTAGTCCCTTTAATTATCCTGCACTCTGTATCAGCCTGTGCACAATGTGACTGTTTTGGCTTAGTCTGGAAAGGCATTGTGGGAATTGTAGTCCTATAGCCAGTTTAAAGTCTTGCCTTTGCCCTCTCCTGATGCTGCAAGGACCCCCAGATTATTGAGTTTTACTCCATCTATAAAGTACTGTAATTTATTCAGAACATTCACTTACCTTGGGCGAGTCTCCTGAGTTATCAAGACTGGGTACGTACTGTGTGTGGTCCTTCTACTGAAAGCTAATAATATTTATTAATGCAATCTCAATAAAACATTTTGTTAGAGTAATGACAATAATCTTGCGAGGTACGTTGCAATCCCCACCCCTTTTTTGTAATCAGACACACGCACACGCACACACTCCCTGACAGTCACACACGCACACTGATAGTCACACTCACACTCCCTGACAGTCACACACGCACACTGATAGTCACACTCACACTCCCTGACAGTCACACACGCACGCTGATAGTCACACTCACACTCCCTGACAGTCACACACGCACGCTGATAGTCACACTCACACTCCCTGACAGTCACACACGCACGCTGATAGTCACACTCACACTCCCTGACAGTCACACACGCACGCTGATAGTCACACTCACACTCCCTGACAGTCACACACGCACGCTGATAGTCACACTCACACTCCCTGACAGTCACACACGCACACTGATAGTCACACTCACACTCCCTGACAGTCACACACGCACGCTGATAGTCACACTCACACTCCCTGACAGTCACACACGCACACTGATAGTCACACTCACACTCCCTGACAGTCACACACGCACGCTGATAGTCACACTCACACTCCCTGACAGTCACACACGCACACTGATAGTCACACTCACACTCCCTGACAGTCACACACGCACACTGATAGTCACACTCACACTCCCTGACAGTCACACACGCACACTGATAGTCACACTCACACTCCCTGACAGTCACACACGCACGCTGATAGTCACACTCACACTCCCTGACAGTCACACACGCACGCTGATAGTCACACTCACACTCCCTGACAGTCACACACGCACACTGATAGTCACACTCACACTCCCTGACAGTCACACACGCACACTGATACTCACACTCCCTGACAGTCACACACGCACACTGACAGACACTCTCAATGACACAATCTCACCGTTTTGAAACACAGTAAGCGACAAACACTCCCGGAGAGTCACACACTCCCTATGACAGATACACACTCTAACTTATTTGAAACACACGCGCACTGACAGATACACTAACAAATTGATTTTATTTCTTGTTGATTTATTTTTTGATCCAGCCTCCCTACCTTTGGGATAGCTGGTGTGGTTCCTCTCCCTGGGGTCCAGTGGGAATCTGCTCCCTGGAGGTCTCCCTTACTGCTCCCTCACGCATACTGATTAGTGATGATGTGCCTGATTTACATCGTATTCCTGCCCCGGGCATCACCACACAGGTGATGCAAGGGAGGAGCAGGAAGAACAGACAGCATTCCGTGGTTACTGAACAAGCACCACTCCGGGGGGCATTAAGGCGGCCTCTTGGCCACCTCCTGTGCCCCCATTAAAGGCCATTGACCCACTCCTCGTGGCGCTCCCCATGACCTGATGCCTGGACACGGTAAACCCCATGCATTTGCCCAGGATCAGCCCTGGTTTCAGAAATCAGATGATTTAAACCTTCACCTAAAACTTGTCATGTCTCTACCTCCCCTGAGAACTGTAATATGGAATATTAATGATGCAGTGAATTTATATTGAATTGATAGAATGGTGCATTGTTTCTTTCTGTTTTGCAGTAACAACATGTTGTATCCCAAGGAAGACAAAGAAAACAGAATCCTTCTCTATGCGGTAATATAGTCTTGTTTTTTTTTTTTCTCTGCATTTCCATACTGGGTGATATTTCATAACGTGCATACCGGCCACACAGACTGGTGAAGCAAGTGGGAGTTGTTCTAAAACAGCAGGAGGGCTGCCGTCTTGCTATCCCAGCAATGACTCACAGGGAATGTTGAGTCTTCCCCAATGGTTTTGCACATTAAAAGTACTGTTGATCGAAGTTGTTGCTAACTCTGGTGCTTCGCATGTTTATGGATTGAATGTTTTGATTATTCTCTGCAGCCTTAAGGAACACTAAACATGATGGGAATTGCAGTTCTAAAAAACTAACTAGTTGAGTATACCTTTTAATCTACTCCTGAATGAATCAATTTGCACACGTTAATTTTGGACTGGGGTACATTAAAAATCATGTTTATTTGATTGCACCGGCTGAAACACACTCGTGCACAAATCTACTAAATAGTCTTCTTTTCCATCCGATGTGTTTGGCTTGTACAGTCTGCCTTACAAATTTGGTTTTCTCTGAAGGTTCTGCTCACAAAGCCATTGAATTTGCAAAGCGCCAAAGTCAAATTCCACTGGAATGCGAATAGGACTTGGCTGTTTGGGCTATAATAATATATTATTTGTTTTATTTACAGTGCCGGAATTGTGATTACCAGCAGGAGGCAGACAACAGCTGCATATACGTCAATAAGATTACACATGAAGTGGAGTAAGTAGTGATAGTGTGTGTTTAATATAGAAATGGATATAGATTTTATCGTATAAGAAAGTGTGTGTGTGTGTATATTATGGATTCTGCTGAAATATAGTCATGAACCACCAGTACAATTTATACTTTACTGGCTTGCCATTGTTGCTAGTTCTACCTGTGATTAGTGTTGCTTTTTATTGTGCATATTGTGACCCCACTTCAGTGGATGATGGTGAATTCTTTTTCTCTGAACTGTGCGTTTATTAACTCTGTCTTGCCATAGTGAACTGACTCAGATCATCGCTGATGTGTCTCAGGATCCTACACTACCACGTACAGAAGACCATCCTTGTTCCAAGTAAGTTACCCTGAAAATGCACAACCTGGCGTTCTATTCCGCGCAACCAAACTATTCAATCCAATCTAGTCTAGTTTGCTAATAAACCTTTTCTCTGGCAAATAGGTGTGGACACAAAGAAGCCGTATTCTTCCAGTCTCACAGCGCACGTGCTGAGGTAAGATCCTGAACCGCCAAGTGCTCTTGTGTCTGTTTACACAATTTACAGATTCTTTCCTTTTCCTAGGAAATATCCTTCAGTAAAGCGTTGTTTGATAGGTTGTCATCTAAATTATTATACATTGTTGTAGTCTTACATGGCACAGAATTGAGTAGTGAGACTGCAGGGGCAATCTGTATACACCGAGAGTGCTTCATTAATCTAAAGTTGTTTTGGTGACTATAGTGTCCCTTTTAGGAAATAAATATTTAGATCACCTTATTGTTAAGTGCATTTAAAGGTTATGGTGTGAGCAATACCCTGGCACCATTCCCCAGTAATGAGGCAAGCCATTTATCAACCGTTTGACACCGGGCGCCAATTCTCCAGGCCTGGCTGCTGACCAGCTTCTACAGAAGCTAAATGCTGATCCCAGTACTCCTGCATTAGCAGAACACGTCAGCTGATCACTCTGAACCAATGAATGAACTTCTGGACAAAGAAATATGCATTTTTGTTCCAGGCTGGCTAATGACATACCAATGAAGCTGCTGGAGGTGGAGTTACACATCTATCAGCAATATATAATATCTCATTGTGAATCACTGCACATTCAAATACAAAGCACCAAGACCACTGCAAATCACTGAAGTGGCCGTGGTACTAACCCTTTAGGATAAAAAATACATTAAAATAATTCTCATGGTGCTTACCACATCATTTATTTTAGCCTCCACTGGTATTTGTGGACATTATCAAAGCATTATAAGTAGCCATGTAAGAATGTATTATTATTTTTTCCAGTAATATTTTAATTTTTTTTTCTTTGCTCTCGTTTTAGGATGCCATGAGATTGTATTATGTTTGTACAGCGCCTCACTGTGGCCATCGCTGGACAGAATGAGTTTTTTGCGGAGTCATCCAATGTGTTCTTAGAAATTTTATACTGTCTGTCTTTTGAATAAATATTTTTTTTTATTTAAAGTGGTTTTCATTTATTGTACAAGATTAAAGGCAATTATAAAGGTCAAATTACCAGACATTTTAAGTCCTTTTAGGTCTGCGTCATTCTGCGCAGGGTCTCTGGGGCAGTAGCCTGCGTCACCTGGAGTGAAAAGTAGTTGAGGCATAACGAGGTGTAGGGTGTAGCAAGACCCCCATTTCTCCCCTCAGAACTCCAGCCCCCCGTTTTCTTAGATGCTTGGATAGCACAGGACTGCTAGGATGGACCTCGATGACATGCAGGGTGTACGTGTCCGCACTTGGAGACGTGAAGCCACATTCTTCACACACATAGATTTTGGAACGGCGCTGGCGGTACGCGTAACTCTGTACTACTCCATGGATCTTGCGTAGATGGCTTTCCAAGGAGCAACGCTGGGTAAAAGACTTGTCACAAACTGGACATTTGTATGGACGGATTCCTGTAAGGGATAAAAAAATGTTAAATTAAATATTGTGAGACACGCAAGATGGTCAATTAAAATAATCCATTTTCTCCCACCTGTGCTGCTGCTCTACCTGTGTGAGTTCTCATATGCCGCTTGAGATCGAACGTGTCATTAAATCCTTTTGCACAGCAGGGACACCTGTGCCTCTTCTGGGTACTGTGACACTTGAGGTGACGTGTTAACATGCGCTGAAGAGGGAAAGATTTGCGACATGCACGACAAGCGAACCGACCCTAAGTGAATGTAAGAGATCATCAGTGATGAAGAAAATTGGAGATAATTATTTAAAGGAATGCTGCAGCATGATCATTTTAAGAAAAAAACAACTTTATAACGCTTAAGTGCGTTATGTGACATGCAGGGCCGGCCTTAGGGGTGTGCGAGCTGTGCGACCGCACAGGGCGCCATGGAACAGGGGGCGCCCTGTGGCCGACACAGCTCACTCATGGCCGGAGTGCAGGGGAGCTAAAAGAGGTACCTGGCTGGAGGATTAATTATTCTCCACCCGGGTCTATTAAAAAAAAAAAAAAAAAATCGCGGCAGAGGGGGCGGGGTTTACCGAGCGGCGGAGGCGGGGCTTATCGAGAGGCGGAGACGGGGCTAATACCTCCCGAAGCCCCTGCTGTACAGGAAGAGGGAAAGATGCTTCCCCATCAGCCAACTGCATCCACTGGAAAGAGGTAAGTGTGTGTGTGTGACTGTTTGCCTGTCTGTGTGACTGTCTGTCTGTGTGACTGCCTGCCTGTGTGCGTGTGACTGTCTGTGTGTGTGTGTGTGACTGTCTGTGTGACTGCCTGTCCCTTGTGTGTGTGTGTGTGACTGTCTCTGTGTGTGACTGCCTGCCTGTGTGTGACTGTCTGTGTGTGTGACTGTCTGTCTGTGTGACTGCCCATGTATGTGACTGCCCATGTATGTGACTGCCTGTGTGTGTGACTGTCTGTCTGTGTGACTGTCTGTCTGTGTGACTGCCCGTGTGTGTGAGACTGTCTGTCTGTGTGTGTGACTGTCTGTGTGTGTGTGACTGCCTGCCTGCCTGTGTGTGTCTGTCTGTAACTATCTGTCTGTGTGTGACTGCCTGCCTGTGTGTGTGACTTTCTATCTGTGTGACTGCCTGCCTGTGTGTGTATAACTGTCTATGTGTGTGTTACTGTGTGTCTGTCTGTGTGTGTGACTGCCTATGTGACTGTCTGTCTGTGTGTGTCGCTGTAGCTGTGCCATTGTTTGTGCCTGTGCCTGTATGTGTGACTGCCTTTAACTGAGTGTGTGTGTACATGCCTGTAACCGAGTTTAAATTTCCCCCACCCCTTCCTGTCAAGGCCGCACTTTGACTGACAGACGCTCACTCACTGACAGACGCACACTCACTGACAGACACACACTCTCATATACACTGACAAACAATGACATACACACATACACTATTACTTGGACACACACTGACAGATGCACACTCTCACTGACAGACGCAAGCACTCACTGAAAGATGCACGACTCCACTGACCGACACATACACACTGACTGACACACACTCACTGACCGACACACACTCACTGACCTACACACTCACTGACCGACACACACTCACTGACGACACATACACACTCACTGACGACACATACACACTCACTGACTGACACATACACACTCACTGACTGACACATATACACTCACTGACCAACACACACATTCACTCACAGACACACACACATTCACTTACAGACACACACAATTACACACTTACAGACACACACACACACACACACACACATTCACTTCAAAATAAACACTCACAGACACACACACAGACATTTCCACTAACACTCACAAACTAATATTTTTTACATTTATTTTAAATCCACCCAGCCTCCCTGGGAAAGCTGGAGTGGATTTCTTACCAGCAGTCCAGTGTGGCTGCTGGGCAGGCAGGCAGGGGGCGCACAGGCTGAGTAAGCAGCGCTTAGTGATGCCGGGAGCCGGACTGACGTCATATTCTGGCTCCCGGCTTCATTAAGCGGCGCAGAGGAAGCTGAGCAGGAAGAGCTCAGGTGAGTATGCTCCTTCGCTGCCCGCTGCCAGCCTTGGGGGGGCTCAAAAGTGGCCAGCCGGTCAGCTCTTGAGCCCCCCAGGATGCGAGGCAAGCAAGGGATCTGCCTGGGGGTTTGGAGGGATGCTTTTTTTTGCCGCCCCCTGCAAAGTGGCGCCCAAGGCAGATGCCTTGTTTGCCTCGTGATACACACGTCCCCGGTGCCTGTGTGTGTTACTGTATTCAGGCAACTTGGTGGGAGGTGGGTGGGGCGCCGTGAAGACTTTTTGCACAGGGCGCCTAATTGCCTAAGGCCGGCCCTGGTGACATGGATTTAGACTCCCCCTGTTAAGGTAAAATAAAGTTAACTCAATTGCAATTCAGGGGGAGAGGGTCTTACATAAACTGTGCTCCACCTCTAGGAGATCATCTCCACTGATGAACTCCTGCCCAATCTTACACTTCTTACGAAGAAACATCGGGAGGCAGGGTACATATACTGTGATTGCTGCAATCAGCCAGTTTTGCTGCTAATTGACAAACATTGAAACGTATACGCCTGAATGGGAAACGTCACTTGTTCCTGATGATGGAATTGTTACTTTTATAAACTGAGATAAAGGGGGGACTTTGTTAATCCCTAAAGCCACTTAACCAAAGTTTGTGCTTTAGAGGTGTGTACTGTTCCTTTAATGCACTGGTAGGTGTCCAGTTATTGAATTACATCTCCCGTGATGTAGTGACTTTATTGGAGTACTAACGTACCACTAGTTTAAGTACTTTGACCATAACTTAATATGGAAAATCTCTGCACCCGTCCGTACAACGCAATATGATCCCCTGTACACATACCTCATGCACGTGTGGTGTGGGTGTTCCATGATCTGAGGAGTGTGTCCAAAACACAGAGTCTGAAACAAGAGAGACCAGTGCAATGACAAGATTCTGCTTTAAAATAGATTATAAACATAGATGAATTAAAACCCCTACTGTTAGCACCCACACTGCCAGCAATTCTAGGGTTTTACATTGGTATAAGGCATTGTCCTGGCTGGCCGTTTCAGGGTCCAAATGTGACATTGATCCGTTAGTGGCTGAATGTCAAACCACATTATTTAAAGGGACGCCAAAACAACTTTAACTTAATAAACATAGAAAAAAATGAGGTTTGCGTTTCCAGTTGTAGTGTGCGCCAATGTGCTACCAAGCAGTTATTGAACTAATTTGGAGGAAAACGTTTATCACTGTTTCTATATTCTCCTGCAGAATTGAGGATTTTAATGTTTAAAACCAAATAGGCCACGTAATTCAGTGTGCGTGTGTGTAAATACATAATTAACTCAATTCTGATCAACCAATTGCACCTTTTCTGTGGTTTTGCCCACAGACCATTCTGTCCGAGCATTAATAAAGATAATAGTTTATTATGGAGCTCTCTAACAACTAGGTAACTGGATTCATCACAGTCGCCCATACAGGGCTGTTCACTAAAGAGAGAGTGGTCAGAAATTCAAAAAAATTAATGTAAAATTTAAAGGGACGCCAAAAACAACGTTAACTTAATAAACATAGAAAAAAATGAGGTTTGCGTTTCCAGTTGTAGTGTGCGCCAATGTGCTACCAAGCAGTTATTGAACTAATTAAATAAATAAATGCTTGGTGCACACTCCAACTGGAAGCGCAGACCTCGTTTTCTATGTTTATTTGGTTTCCACTGCTGAAACTACAGTGGAAGGAGCTGCAGCAAAACTGTTTGTTTGTATTTTCAATCCTTTTGGTATTGCAATTATCTGTGCCTCTGCAACTTTAACTTAATGAAGTAGTTTCTGCATGTCAATCATGCCCCCTCCAGTCTCACAGCTCAATTCTATGCCCCTCGGGAATTAAAAAAAAAAGAATTTGGAGGAAAACGTTTATCACTCTTTCTATATTCTCCTGCAGAATTGAGGATTTTAATATTTAAAACCAAATAGGCCACGTAATTCAGTGTGCGTGTGTGTAAATACATAATTAACTCAATTCTGATCAACCAATTGCACCTTTTCTGTGGTTTTGCCCAATAATATTCCATAGCCCCTTTCATCTCACAATTAAATTTAGCAAAATCTATATGTCCTACTTTGTTAGTCAAGAGAAGCTAACTTATAGTTCTTCTACCAGTGCAGAACTACGCCCCCCACAATGCTTAGCTACCTGATTGAATTTGCACCTGTGCAGCATTAGGATAGCTACCTGCAGACCACACCTGGCGTATGTATCAGGTGTGTTTATTCAGAGCCGAAAGGAAGAATAGATAACGAGGCTGGGAGCAATAGATGGACTGACACATTAATGCCAATGTAAACAGAAGAAGCTGCTATTCAAAACATTTAGACAAAACCAATCCTGATGCATGGAGTGAGCCATGAATGGATAAAGCAGTTGACTTGATAAATAGATGGGATTTGTGCTTATTTGACTGTAACAGAATCCACTAATGTCAATGTATTTCACGAAGGTGAAACAGGTTACTATTTAAATAAATTGGGGGGAGGCGGAGGTAGATGAAAACAAGGACTGGGAATGGGGGGGGGGGGTACTATAAGGCTATTCTAATGAATCTCAGGATAGAAAAAAGCAAAGGATTGATGGGGGTATTCTAATGAATTTGGGAAAAGGAGAAAGGACGTTCTAAAATATTGGGTATTAGAATGAATCTAAGGGACAGCAGGAAATGAAGATTGAATAGTGGATAATCTGAGAATGGTAGATAACAGGAAATCTAATTTTTTTTTTAATATTTAATGAGTATGAGAACAGGAGAAAAGTATTGGAATGTGGGGTGGGGGTGATTAATGACTCTGGAAATAGAAGAAAACATGCATGGGGAGCACAATGTTCAGAAAGGAAGGGACATAGCAGAGAGACGGGATTATCATGGTATATTCCCAGCTCTGTGTCCGTGTAGGGAATCATCAACTTTTCTTTTGGACTCAAACCTCAGGCGTTTCTGGAACCCAGGAGCGCCCCTGTTCTATGCTCTCTCTCTATATAATCTCTCTACAGAAATAGGCTTGTTCATTATTTAAAGTTTTTATTTTTTGACAATCAAAATATTTTTTCAATATACATGTAATTTAATAAAAAAGAGATCTATGTTTTTGGAGAAGAATGGACAGATATAAAACTATCGAGAAAGATGAGCCCGGGAAGCAAAGGAGGATTGAATTTTCTCGCATAAAGTTACCAAATTTTAAAAAAAGCTATAGAAAATATTGGAATATAGGTTTTCCAAAGATCCCACATAAATATACATTTTTCTAAAGATCCCATCCTCCTTATAGTTAGTGCATTTCCTATATAGGACATCCGTGTGTTAAAAGTTCATATATTCTAAATTATGAGCTCTTACCACAGCTCCTGGAAGGCCGTTCAATGCATCACCCACTCTGTTTAATCAGTTAATATACTACTAATACTGATTAACGTGATATGGTCGCCTGTATTTTATGAAACATCTTATGAGTGATCTGTAATGTGTCGTTAACATCCTCTCCTCCCCAGTACTGATAACTATTCATGAACAGACACATAGTGTACACATGTTCCCTTACCTTTCTCTGTTGTTTAGAGTAGGCAGGTCCCTTTCCTGAGCAGTTAGTGTTAGTAAAAACAATTTAAGAATGTCTAAGAGAGCTATTCAATAAAGTGTCAAGTGCTGGGAATCCAAAGAAAATGTCAAATTAAAGACCAAAATAGCTGAACTAGAAAAATTATACTAGCCATCTATTCTTCTGGTTTGGCTACTTTCTACTTTGACCTTAAAGTTGAAATTCAGATTTTAATCCCAACAGTTCTCACCTTAGTAAATAACCCTGTGAGATTTCTGTGTGATAAACATGTGCCAAACATGGGCCTTTCATGAGAGCATCAGCTACATACCTGGAATATACATGTCTCCTCTTTCTTCATCCGCAAGGTGCCCCCATCCTGTGATACCCATGATGGAGTGACGGCGTTTTACCAAGAATGAACGAGGCATTGTGCTCAGGAGAATAACTACCCTGATAGTTAATGATTTTTGACAGATGTTGCGAGAGCACTGTGAATTTTTAAATCAGGTATATTCTTTAAGGATGTATATTTTTAGGAAGATTTTCTACGGCTCGTCTGTGCAAGTTATGACAATGTCCTGGAGTAGTTTTGGATTGCCAGAATCAGTTTAGAAGTGGTGATGGTGAAGAAATGTGAATGATAGTTCACAGGAGCTCCTGTCTAAAAGGTTGTCCACAGCAGATACGTCTCTGGTGGTTTGTCTAATTAAAATGAACAGTCTGGATCCTTGTTGCTCTTGACAGCGAAACAATTCAGAATCAACTAAATAACATTAAACTAACGATCAAAGACTATTGGCTAACTTTAACGATCCGCCTTGTTTGATAAAGTGGAATCTCAAAGAACTTGAAAATGGACCTCTGAAGATTAGTAGAAGACAGGAGTGGGTCACTGAATGGTACCCAATAATAGTGGCGAAAGGTGACTTTAATGCTAAGTTCACTGTTCTCGAGGAGCAATGTGAATCACAGCAGTGAGAAGGCAGAGAGTGTACGGGATCTCTTATTTGTTCCAAATAATTTGAATGTCCCAGGTTTTTGCATGTGGAGCTGAGCTCTTTTTAACACACAGAGAGAACGGACTCTTCCTCCCCATGCAAATCCTGTAGACAGAAAGAAGGGAAGGGAATTGTTCGTTGGAGAACGGTTAATTTCTCTTAGAATTCCTTTAATTCCTACAAATGTCAAACCCCCTCCTCTCTTAGCAGGGGTGAACATGTTACCTGTCCTGAAAGGAATAATGCATAAGATGAACTATCAGATGCTACAAGAGGAGTATCAGACAATCCTGGAATTAACGGGATGTCATTAGCTGGCCAGCTCTCATTTGAATGCCCCGTTGACTTATCCCTTAAACATCATTTGATTAACAAACCTCGTTAGCTGAGATTCCCAGTTTGTTAACCTTTTCGTATCCTTAGTGCCATGATACGTTCATAGGGATTTATTCTCCTAGAATTGTGGAGAATTGACCAGGAAGTCACATATGTTAAATTCCAAACTCGATGGATGATGTTAAACACTGTTAACTGGTTTGCAAACATTCAACTGTGATATATAATTGTTCTACCTATTCTGTATTTTGCTATTGTATGAAAAATGATTTACTAAATAAAGATTGTTAAGTTCTTTTTAGATGGTTCCCAACCCCAGCACAACATTTTCGTATGGGTAAAACCCCAGTGGACTGATGCTGACGTTTATGTGGAGCCCGTGGCACTTACTACACATATACTGGACCTGCCCTAGGGTGGTTTCTTATTGGAGAGAAGGTGGGGATTTTGTGGCTTCTGTCTTTCATAGACAGTTTGATGTAAACCCCTGGTTGTTTTTACTTTCCCATCCGACTGAGGGTTTCTCGACCCACTCTCAAAATCTATTTAACCCCTTAAGGACACATGACATGTGTGACATGTCATGATTCCCTTTTATTACAGAAGTTTGGTCCTTAAGGGGTTAATAAATTCACCTCCTCAGCTGACAGGTCTCTTGCTGCGGATTGGCTCTGGGATGGACCCCTCGAATTGAGAAGGTCAATGTTAAGGTTGCTGACAGTTATCTAATGGTCAAGCATATGACCATGGTCTGCAAACCTCTTCCCTCTTTCCATAAGACCTGGGATCCCTGGGTCAAGTATACTCCTGGTTGAGAGTGGATCTCTGTTGGGGGAACCCTCCTTTTTTTCTTTTGCTTCACTGCAGCGGGAGGTATTCCCACTTTTCCACTCACTTTATTTTTTCTCTTTTTCTTTTAATATCTTTTCCCAGTTTAGACAATAATCACACTAATGAATATTTGAGAATATGTAGACATAGAGTATGTTTCCCAAAAGGGTTAAACTGGGATTTCTGTTTGAGGTTGTCCATATAAAATAAATGATTACTTATGTTTCTTAAAAGCAACAATATTACACATGGAACAAGAAATGGGATGTAGCAGATACTGAGTTAGAGGTCACACGAGTCTTGGCATCTCCATTGTAGATCAGGCACATAGGCTACATGGTACAATATCTTCCAAGATGGCTCTCTTGTCTGACAGAGAGGGTCTGAATATGATATAATACTCTCCCAAATTATACCCAACACGTTTTGCCTAATACCAGCAGTGATAGAAATAGTGTAGGATGAAATTGGAAGAGATTCAGGTTGCAAAAGGGCAAGATCAAGATTCTTAGGGGGATGGGGAGATGCTATGGGGTGTGGGAATGGGTGGTCGATGGTTAATGGACAACTGCCAGCTCAACGCTATTTTTTTATATAATAACACTTTTATCAAATTTTGGAAGATTTTTTTTTTCTCTGAAGTATATATAAAATAAAAAGTGCTACACACTCATCCTTACCTTTGATATACGACAGGATCCTTCATCATTATACACGGATCTTGGATCAGTGTTTGAAAAATTCTATGTGGTCTTCCCGGCTTCACTCCATGCACAGTGCATGGACATAATCAGACCGCTAACTGTCAAATCCAACACCGCCTGACCCAAGGTGCATGTATATGGCTGAAGGATCCTGTCTTATGCTAAAGGCAATTTATCTCATTTGTTTTTTTTTCCATATATTTAATTTAAAAAAAAAGAATCTTAATGAAAGGATACTTAATGAAGGGACCATTATATTACAAATTAGAGATAGTGGAACACAATACATAATACCTTGGAACACAATACATAATACCTTGGATCTGATATCATTTTCAAATGGTTTCTATTTTTTTTTAGTTTTTTTTATTTGGTATCTTTATGTTTATATTGCAAGAAAAATATTAAACCTTTCTTTGTTTCCCAGATTCTTTTCTTTTACGTTTTAAAACATCTTTCTCAGTTTTTCTATTCCAGTTAATTCTTTCTCCATTAAAGATTCTGGATAAATGAGATTTTCAAACCTCTTTTACATTTAATTTAAAAAAACAACAACTTTTTCTGCGTACTATTCCAAATCCCAATGCATATTTAAATAACTGGAGGTTGTTAGAATGTTTCTTCATTAGATATTTTGCATTTAAAGCCAGGTGATTTGTTAGTGTAGGGCTCACCTAAAAGGTTTTGCCTTGACATGGCAGGTGAGTTTACACTCTAATGGCCATTTGAGGTGTACTAAACATCCTTTATATAACTGTGCATAGGGACTTGGGATAGTAGGCAGTTTTAAGTTTGACGGGTATGATGGCTTCTTATTTGGCCATTTTTGCGGCTGAAAAATGAAGATTTTAGAAAAAAGACGTAAAATGGTAAGTTAAATTTTTCTTTACAGGTTAGTTATTTTATTCCCTCCTCACTATTTTTAGGGTGAGGGGGGTAGGTAGGGGATAGTTTTATTTGGGTGGGGGGGGGACTAGGGGCTTGGGACCCCTAGTCACCTTGATTGGAGGGGTGAATTTTAATTTAGGGCCCCCACCTGCCGCTCCGGGGGGGAGAGTAGGTCCCCCCTTATTGTTTTTTAAGGCCCCCACCCACCGCTCAGGGGTGGGGGGGAGGACAATAGGTCCCACCCCCTTATTGTTATTTAGGGCCCCCACCCACCGCGCAGGGGTGGGGGCGGGGGTGACAGTAGGTCCCACCCCACATTCCTATTTAGGGCCCCCACCACTCAGGGGAAGGGGGCCGGGGGGGGGGGACAGTAGGTCCCCCTCCTTGTTTTTTAGGGCTCCCAACCCTCAGGGATGGGGGCCGGGGGAGCCGCCCACAAGAGACACGTTGCTGGATGACAGGACAGAGGTCCGGGGAGGAGAGATATATCAGGGTGTCATAGGCATACAGTTGGTATTGGAATCCAAATGAGGTAATAAGTTTGCCAAGAGAGGCAGTATAAAGAGAAAACAGAAGGGGACCAAGAACAGAGCCTTGGGGGACTCCAACCGAGACAGGACGAAGGGAGGAGGTATCATTAGAAAAGGAGACACTGAATGAGCGTTGGGAGAGATAAGAGGAAAACCACAGGAGTACAGAGTCACAGAGACAGAGTAATTGAAGACTGAATTATGTATTATGTGTGTACTATCAATATATACAATTATACTAATGCTTGTGCATTTTTATAGAGGCTCTCACCTTTTGGTGGTCTCTGCAAACCAACGCATGTTGATGGGCACCAGATTTACCACCAGTTACATTATTGTCACCATTGTCTTTATGGTATATTGGGAAAAAATATTTTATGTAAGAAGGACATTACTGGGAGTCAAAACTGCTGCTATAAATAATATTTTTGGGTGTGGAAGGGAAGTGGAAGTAACTTCCAAATTGTCCTTTCCCACCTGAACAACGAGGCATGGGGTATAAAAATCTTAAGATGGAGATAACAGTTTTGTACAATATAACTGTATCACTAAAATCGAGTATAAACATTTTTATTTCCATGTATTTTGCAGTATGAAATCTAGTCCATAAAGCCTCACTTTCATTTATACTCTAGTGATGATTACTAGTCTGTAGATGAACACATTTCTCTGCAAGAAGTAACTGGTCACTGCCTTAATTCCATAATGTTGCTGAATATATAAGTTCACCCCTTGCTTTATTACAGTACAGGAAGTTTCAATGGGTCAGATAAGTGCTACAACCAAGGTTGGGGGATGAGTGAACGGATTCTATCTTGTCAGCATTACATTAGCAGTCCAGGGATGATAAAGATTGCTACAACAGTTTTAGATAAATCTTTTTTTAGAAATATGTGATTTTTTTACTGTATTTCCTGTATGTAAGCCTTATACTGAAATGCAGACTTTTTTTTTTGCATTCTGCTGCCATTTTCAGTAAGTTGTAGTGCTGGCAATACCATCAGTAAGGTGTTTTTGTACAAGTTGTGAGGTATGCCCAAGGTTGTAGGGGAGTATTACCATTGGGGTGCTCCAGGAAGGGATCGCAAACCCCAAAGACACACATTGGAAAACTGTGTGACGCCCAGGCACACCCAGGGGT